ATTTCGAACGAGGCAACGAGAGAAACGGGAGACAAAACAAAGGGATGAAGAGGGGAGGGGAGGGGAGAGGAAAGGAAAGAAAGGAGAGACGGGGCGAGAAGGAAGGAGGTGAAGAAACCTGGGCGAATCACGAGCGCAACTGCGCTTTCACCGGGTAGAGAAAAAGAATTTTCGTAGGATGCAACAAACTGCATCACAGCGCCGGGACGCGGAAGGTGAGACGGGACGGGAACGAAAAGAAAGAAAAAGAACCGGGACATCTCTGTGACCATTACTATCCCGGTACACTAAATCCTTGCCACTCGTAGACGCGCAAACATTTTTCAACCGGAGCTCGGCAGTGAGCTTGATTTCCAAGAGAGCCGACGACGGTCTCGCGTGCTTTCAGCCAACCTGTAGGAGCCGACCTTCGTCGAGCGCGTACAAAGTATCCAGGAAATATTACCGGACAAAGGGCGACAAACGAGTCCTGGTGCGATAACAAAAGAGAAAGAAGGAGCGGATCGCCAGGCGGAAATTTCATTCGAACGAGCGGACGTTGTGTAACGTTGCTGACGACGCGAGAGACGAAATCCGCGCGAGGCGACGCGGCGAGGAGATCCGGACATAACAGTGGCTCCATCTCGACGAAGAATTGTAGAGCGAACGGTGCGTCGCATCCTGGTGGAAGAAATAATTTTCGTCGTTCGTTTGATTCGTTGGTTGTACTCTTGGTTGGGCTGGCTGGGAAAAGCACGATAATAACCACTTGCACGCGTAAGGGGTAGGACGCGACGCTTGGTCCGACCGTGGCGGCGTCTCTCGCCGTTTTTCACTTCCGACCGTTTTAAGGAAGCTCGTAAAAGCTCGCTCGGAGCGTACGGATTCGCACAAAGTAGCCGTGGAATATTGCGAGTTAAAAGGGCGAGCGCGACCAGCTGCGGACCTCCGTCCGTTTACAATCGTAACCGTTCTAAAAAGCCAGCCAAGACTGAAATCCTTTACGAAGCAATTTCACGCGCCGGCTCGTTTTAATATTCCGAAGCTTCCAAAAAGAACGTCAACTTTTGCCTGACGAAATAACCAACCCCTCGCGCGCCTCGAGATCTTTGTCGGGGCCTAAAGTTGTCGAGATCAACGCTGTCGTGATGATCGGGATTCTTCGGAATGAGGAGAGCAGCAGAAAGAATCGAATCGCAGGCGAAGAAGCCAACGAAGAATAGAAAGAATAGACTTCATTTTAATAGAAAGACTTTCTCAATTTCAATTCAAAAACCGAGTAACAACGTTGCGTTCTTGGCTCTCCCGAGCAGAGACACTAAATGACACAACGGTCGTCGCGTTATCGGTTCTGAACGCGTTAATAATCCCGAAAAGGGAGGAAAATAGTAGTGACAGCACTCGACAGGACGAGCGAATTGAAAAGAAGGGCAACGGGGGGCGACATAAGCTCGTAAAATTTGAACGACGTGGTCCCAGCCACGAAGCGAAATTGTGCCATTTAACCGGTGGTGACGTTCTCGTTTCAGGAAAACCATTTCCGGTTCGTAACTGCACGCTCGCGAACCAGACTTACACCAGCGTCGAGGTGAAATGCGTGGCTAGCTACGATGGCGGGCTTCCGCAAAAATTCATCCTCGAGGTGTACCACGGCGACGTGGATTTCCTGTCGAGGAGCCAACCCCTCTACAACGTTTCGAACGCTGACGAGCCGAGTTTCTCCCTCACCGGATTGGAGGCGTCCGTCGAGGCTGGCGTTCACGTCGCGGTCTACGCGATGAACGCGAAAGGTCGTAGTCAACCAGTCATTCTCAGCGAGGTCACCTATCGCGACGCCGAGAAACGCACCGGTAAGTTGTAAAGTCTCTCCATTTGTCTCTCTTGCCTTTAAACGTGGCTTTCATTATGTTATTTATTTCGTGTGAAATACACTTTAGTACATGAAGTGAAAAATATTTTAGTACACGAAAAAGTTGACAAACTATTAACAATGTAAGCTTGTGACGATTGCTTTTCTAAATGATCGAGAGGAATCGGTCAAAGAGTAAACAGATTAAATCTTAAGAATATTAGAATTAGCATAAGGTCAGCTATCAGATGCAATTATATTGACTATCTAACTTAAATCTGACAATGAGTGAAAAAGGTTTATTACTAATTTAGAACCTGAATTTTCAACATCTTACACGTAAAGGGTTTGACCGTAATTTAATTATTAAAGCGTGCACGTATATGCACATTTATTATTATTACACAGACGTTATTAATTTGCGAGATTCTCCCTCTTTGCTTGCCCCCTTTTATTGCAATATGTATGCATTTCCGACATACATCTTGTACAAGATCAGTAAAACTTCATATTATACTTACATAAATATTTAAAAATCCAAATGAAGCATTCGCTCTTGTAACTGTATCTTATCTCACAATATCATGTAAATTATTAACATGTATGCATAATTTTTCAGTGATTAATAAAGTTGAAATTAAATTCCGTTCAAACTCTCTGATCTTGTTATATATATATATATAGAATTGAAAACTCTAAATAATCCTAATTCAATAACCTCGATTCTAATTCAAAATCTGATAATTTTTAAACGAGATAACATACATGACTTACATGGAAAACCAAATAACTAATCTCTAACTAGCGTAATAGAAAAATTTTCAGTATTAAATTCGAGAGTAATACCGTTTCTGTTATAAATGAGGACGCAGCCGACTCGGCAAAGAATCGTCCATCGCTCGCGGGACAGGTACTTAGGTAGATGTTCGCTCTCTCGCGTCGATGAAATTGAGTAAAACTTATAAAGTCAACCGTCGGGGAAGAAAGGGATAAGCAATGTGACAGAATGAGAAATGGACTGTCATGCGTAAGCTTAATCGAACAGAAAGCGCGTTCACGGAGGAACGAAACGATGTTCGGTATGACCCTGATCGATATAGTGACCGGCACCGACGTCAAGGAGATTAACAAAGTGTTCGAGGATGGTCGCCAGCAAGGTCGCTGCCTGGTTCCTGCGGGTTCCGCGCCGCCTTTGAAACGGATGGTAGCTGTTCCCGTAGTGGGTGGTGTCAACGACGAGGTTAGTAAGCAAGACGAATCGCCACCCTCGAGACAACACACTGAGACGAATGCACCACACCCATTACGTGTTCTTGTATACGTCGTGCGCTACTTAGGCCCCCTCGCCGACTACAGTCCAAGAAATCCTAAATCCACGCCTCCTCTGGCAAACTCGAACTTTCTGAAAGCTCGCTGACTCTAATACTTCGTAATTAATGTCTCT